GCTGCTGTGAACAGAATCATTAGTGAAGGTGGAAGCAAGGGGCTTAGTCCAGGCTAGAGATGCTGGGGCATAGACCAGAGTGGTCTGGAAGGATAAGCAGGGTTTAGTAAGAGAGGGAAGAACAAACAGAGTGAGTACTCCTGTTGGTAGCAACAGCCTAAGCAATGACATAGTAGCAGAAAATCGGTGTGGCAACTTGTATCTCTGGAGTGAATGTGAAAGAGTGATGATGGGAGGTGACAAGGGAAGAGGTTAGAGGTGTTTCTACAGAAGTAACCAAGTCTGTCTTTCATACCCGCAGACCTGACTTTTCACCTTTTCTTTCATAAATTTCTTGCACTGCTTCTTTGGAGTCTAGTTCTCCTACACCTGCAGACCACTCTCCCTTTTGACTGAACTGTTATTTCCTTCATCTTTTTTTTTTTTTAACACAGTCTTGCTCTGTCATCCAGGCTGGAGTGAAGTGGTGCAATCTTGGCTCACTGCAACCTACCCCTCCTGGGTTCAAGCAATTCTCCTGCCTCAGTCTCCCGAGTAGCTGCAGTTACAGATGTGCGCCACCATACCTGGCTAATTTTTGTATTTTCAGTAGAGACAAGGTTTTGCCATGTTGGTCAGGCTGGTCTTGAACTCCTGACCTCAAGTGATCCACCCACCTTGGTCTCCCCAAGTGCTGGGACTACACCTGTGAGCCACTGTGCCCAGCTCCTTTATCTTTAAGAAAAAAAAGATCCCACTTCACTCTTCATCCTTTCATCCTGTTCCAGCTTTGGCCTCATTCCTCTAATTTTTCCCTCTATAAACCTCCTCCTGCAGATTTCCGCATCTCAACTGACCAAAATTTCATCCATCCTTCCTCTCACTCAGCTTAAAAACCTTGGAGACAGCTGGGCATGGTGGCTCACACCTGTAATTTCAGCAGTTTGGCAGGCTGAGGCAGGCGGATCACCTGAGGTCAGGAGTTCGAGACCAGCCTGGCCGACACGGTGAAACCCCATCTCTACGAAAAGTACACATATTAGCCAGGCATGGTGGTGCACGCCTGTAATTGCAGCTACTCAGAGGCTGAGACAGGAGAATCGCTTGAACCCAGGAGGCGGAGGTTGCAGTGAGCAGAGATTGCACAATTGCACTCCAGCCTGGGCCACAGAGCAAGACTCCATCTCAAAACCAAAAACAACAACAACAAAATCTTTGGAGTCATTCTCAATTCCCCTCTTTATTTCATGCCCCGTCCAATCTGCCAGCACAATTCTATCATCTTTTTTCATAATGACACCCAGAACTGACCACTTCTCACCACCACCAATACCACCACAAAGGGCTGAGCCACCAGCATGTCTCATCTGGACTATTATAGTAATTTCCTCACTGGTCCCTCTTGTGGCTCCCACCTGGCTCAGGGTCCTCTGACTTCTGCCCAGCTTTCCTAATTTAGTCTCTTCGCCACCCTTCTCTGCTCTCTACTCTCACCATCATGGTGACTTTCGTGATACTCCTCACACCTACCAAGCCTTGTCTGGCCTCAGGGCCTTTGCTATTACAGTGCTTTCAGCTTGGGACACTTTCTTCTCATATCCTCATGGCTCCCTCTGCTGTTATCTCAACCAGTGGCACTCCCTCTCCATCCCTCTGCATCCTCTTACCCTGCTTTCTTGTTCTTTACCTCACCACCTGACACATCATGTTCTCTGTGTTTTATTTATAGTGTGTCTCCAGTACTAGACTAGAAGCTCTGCAAGGGTAGGGGTTTTTGTCTGTTTAGTTCACTGCTTCATCCCCAGTACCTAGAACAGTATTTGCCATAGATTAGGTGCTTTATATTTGTTGAAGGACTGAATATGGAGGAGTACAGTGAGGGATGGAAAGAGGAAATCAAAAGTCACCCTTGAGCTGATTGGAAAAGACACATAGCAAGTCACACAGTGGGTGGCAGCAAGTGCACTTCAAATAGAGGACCCAATATAAGTAATACTGACCCTCCTTCCTCTGCCTGAACCTGTAGGTGCCAGAGGAGGCCAATTATGAGGTGGTCCCTGTGGAGGCCTATGGGCTGGCCATGCTGCGGGGCATGGGCTGGAAACCTGGCGAGGGCATCGGTCGCACCTTCAATCAGTGAGTTCTGGGATGGGGTAAGGGGACAGACAGATCAGGCTGTGATCAAGATCCCCAGGATCACTGCCAAACTGGAACCATCCAGGCAGGGAGGGAGGATACATTATTGCCCTAACTAATTCAGCAGCTCCTTCCACTACTGTGTTTTGTTTTATTTTATTTTTATTTTAGCCACAAAGGGAGAGGAATGTTTTGTTTTGTCTTCTTTTTTGAGATGGAGTCTCACTGTCGCCCAGGCTGAAGTGCAGTGGCGTGATCTCAGCTCACTGCAACCTCTGCCTCCTAGGTTCAAGTGATTCTCCTCCCTCAGCCTCCCGAGTAGCTAATTTTTTATTTTTAGTAGAGATGGGGTTTTACCATGTTGGCCAGGCTGGTCTTGAACTCCTGACCTCAGCTTATCCACCCGTCTTGGCCTCCCAAAGTGCTGGGATTGTAGGCGTGAGCCACCACACCTGGCTTCCACTTCTGTTTTAAACTCCCATTTGGCCTTCAGAATACTGTAATAGAATCCTATTTTTATAAAGTTTGCCTCTGGGGACATCAATTTCCTCATCTGAAAAATGGGGATAGTAATACTGACTTCACAGGTCTGTTGTGTGAGTTAAATGAAATTATACATATAGGCCAGGTAGTGGCTCATGCCTGTAATCCCAGCACATTGGGAGACTGAGGCAGGAGGATCACTTAACCTTGGCAGTTTGAGACCAGCCTGGACAACATAGGGAGGCTCCATCTCTACAAAAGATTAATTAATTTTAAGAAAAGAAATTATATACGTAAAGCACATACAGTAGGTCCTGGCCCCAAGAAAGCATAGACTAAACATTTACTATTGTCATGCAGACTTACTACCCTTTCTTTGCAATTGCAAACTCTGAAGAATTCTGAAAAACAAACATTTTTTCCTAAGCCATTGGTAGCCAAACATGACCTGAATTGGTATCGAGTATTTTTTTCTTTTGACATGGAGGCTCTTTGTCGCCCAGGCTGGAATGCAGTTGGTGCAATCTTGGCTCACTGCAACCTTGACCTCCTGAGTTCAAGTGGTTCTCCTACCTCAGCCTTCTGAGTAGCTGGGATTACAGACATGTTCCACCATGCCTGGCTAATTTTTGTATTTTTAGTAGAGATGGGGTTTCCCCATGTTGGCCAGGCTGGTCTTGAACTCCTGACCTCAGGTGATCTGCCAACCTCGGTCTCCCAAAGTGCTGGGATTACAGGCATGAGCCACCATGCCCAACCATGTCGAGTATTTATAGTCTGTTTCTCCTGCTTGTTGTGAATATTCATATGATTTCCCCTGTAGACATAGTATATTTGGTTACAGTGATCTGCCTCTGATCTTACTGTAGATAGTATGTAATAGATGGTATATGCAGCATGTTACTAGGTTGAATCAAATGAAATTGCTGTTTCTGTGGGTCAAAAACAGTCCTAATATGAGATCAGAAAGGGCATCCTTGAAAATGTTGATGGGGGCCAGACATGGTGGCTCATGCCTGTAATCCCAGCACTTTGGGAGACCAAGGATGGTGGATCACCTGAGGTCAGTTCTGAGATCAGCCTGACCAACATGTGAAATCCTGTCTCTACTAAAAATACAAACATTAGCCAGGCATGGTGGCATGTACTTGTAACTCCAGCTATTCAGGAGGCTGAGGCAGGAGAATCACTTGAATCTGGGAGGTGGAGGTTGCAGTGAGCCGAGATCGAGCCATTGCACTCCAGTCTGGGAGACAAGAGGCAAAACTCTGTCTCAAAAAAAGAAAAGAAAAGAAAATGTCGATGGGTAGAGTTTGGTCAGGGAGAGGAAATAAATAAGATGTTGAAGACTGTCGCATTTCTCTCCAGCAAACCCATATTTCTCCCTGCAGAGTAGTGAAGCCCGTGTCAACTCACTGAGGCCCAAGGGATTAGGGCTGGGTGCCACCTGACCGAGGCCCAGACCTTGACCCCTACCGGCCCCTCCCACATGCCAAGGCCAGATGAGCAAGGGAAGGATAAGGAAGATCAGCCTCAAGGGTTGGTGCCGGGAGGAGCTGTAATGGTTCTTTCTGGCCCTCACCGAGGCCTCTATGGGAAGGTAAGGAACCAAGATAGCCCAGGAGCCCAAAACAGGCAGCAGGGAATGTTGATCTGAGGGTCAGAGGGAGGAAGACTTGGGTTTGAGGTAGAAAGGCTGGGAGTTCTAGTCTTTTAGGCCTGCTTGGCCCACTGCCACACTCAGTAACCCAGGATCACTTGCTGGCCTCTGTGAGCCTCAGTTACCAGTTAAAAGGAAAAGAATGTCATATGCCACAAGTCCCTGAGGATTAAATGCTTAAAGGATCCAAGGAAGCCCCACAGTTAGCTGAGGGAGACACAGGAACCAGACCTGGTCCCACTTCTTAGGGGTCAAAGTCTGGTCGGGGAGACAGAGGAAGCAGGCCTCTTAGAGGTGAGAGGTGGACAGCTTGGTCCTAGGAATGTGGGTGGAGTCCACAATCCCTACCTAACTTCTTCCCCTCAACACTTTAGGTGGAAGGCCTCGATCCTGACAATGTTCGGGCCATGGTTCGTCTGGCTGTGGGGAGCCGGATGGTGACTGTCAGTGAGTACTGCCTACGGCCAGTCTCCCAGCAGGAATTTGACAAGAACGCCTTGGATCTCAGTGAGTGAGCCTCTTGTAGAGCTAGGGGAGTTGGCAAAGCATTCCTGGGGATGGCAGGGCCTGGCTTATGGAATGGTTTTAGATCTGCAGCAGGGAGGGTCAGCAGTCTGCCTGACAGGTGTGACTTCCAATCAGAGGTCAGGAGGTAAGAATGGACATAAGTGACTTATTCCATTTGATTGGAGAAAGGTGGATGTCATACCCCTTGGTCTGTAGCCTGTTTCTGAGTGGGAAGAAACAGGTACAGAAATCAGTTCCTACTCTCAGGATCTTTGTCCATTTGGGGTGGTGAACCTCTCTTTTTACTAGGGAGTGAGAACTACTAGGATTAGTGTATGACTGAGAAGAAAGGAATTCTAGGCAGACAGAATAGCACAGGTGAAGGCGTTTCAGTAGGATGGGGCAGTTTGGCAGATGGGTACAGACAGAGCTCTCAGGGAATCTCTAGTCAATGTTAGGTAGGCATTGTTGCTGTAGGCTAGGGCAGCTGTGGGAGGGTTCCTGAAGGAAGCCGAAATGGTTGAGAGGTCAGGGAGAGGCATTCTACTAGCAAATGCATGAGGGGAGAGAGGGACACTTTGGCAGGTGGAAGGTGGCCCTAGGCTGAGACATGGCCTTGGAAGGAAAGGCAGTGAGACACTGAGGCTCTGTCCTGGTTCTCCTAACCGCTTGAACAGGCCAGGTAAGGAAAACTTCCTTCCCTAGGGCAACAGAACAGAACTGCCTCATTACAGAAGACCCTCCGGAATCAAGAACTCCACATCCAGCAGGACAACTCAGAGAGGAAGCGGAAACACCTTCCAGGCCGGTGGGACTCTGAGCATGTGGGAGGGGGCAAGAGGGAAGGGCTGTGAGTAGGCTTGAGCAGCCAGGAAAGGCTTTCAAGGCAGGGCAGGCTCATAGAAGGAACTGGGAACCGCATTGTGGGTGGGTTTCATAGCATAGACAAAGGGAGGGAGACTGGAAAGTGCATCTGATGAAGAGCTAAGCCTGGTGCTGCCACCTTCTCCACAGACAGAATGGGCTTACAGCCAAGATTGAGAAAGCAGCCCCCAGGAGTCGGCACTGGCTGCACAGGGACCTGCGGGTGCGGTTTGTGGACAAGATGTACAAAGGCGGCCAGTATTATAACACCAAGGTGGGAACCCTACAGCCTGAGTCCCCTCCCTCCCCCAGGGACTGGGCCCCCTTAGCTCTCTAAAAATCTCACATCCCCCTGACCTGTATCCCCAGATGATAATTGAAGATGTCCTAAGCCCAGATACCTGTGTATGTCAGACAGATGAAGGCCGAGTCCTGGAAGGTGAGTTTGAGTGATTGCAGCTGGAGCATGATCATCCTGGAGGTTGATCAAGAAGAGTGTCTTAGGCCCAGAGCCTGGCCCAGGCAAAGCTGGGAGGTGGGCAGAGTTCAGGTATTTTGCAAGGCCTAGCATCCTCTTACAGAACATTGGACACTTCCATTATGGTAGTTATCTTGAGCCCACACTCCCGGTCTGCCAAGTTTTCTTTTTCTTTCTTTCTTTCTTTTTTTTTTTTTTTTTTGAGGCACAGTCTTGCTCTGTTGCCCAGGCTGGAGTGCAGTGGCATGATCTTGACTCACTGCAACCTCTGCCTCCTGGTTTCAAGCGATAATCCTGCCTCAGCCTCCTGAGTAGCTGGGACTACAGGCAAGCGCCACCACACCTGGCTAATGTTTGTATTTTTAGTAGAGATGGGGTTTCACCATGTTGACCATGCTGGTCTTGAATTCCTGACCTCAAGTGATCCTCCCGCCTTGGCCTCCAAAGTGCTGGGATTACAAGCCACTGCGCCTGGCCTCCATCTATCAAATTAGCATGGAAATTACTTTCTTCCTCTTGTGATTGGTACCTTGGTGAAGGGATGTGTATTGAGCTCTCAGTGCAGGGCAGGGCTTAGAACATGCCAGCAATAAACGATGGCTGTTCTTATCACTACCACCACATGGACATCCTCCCTTTATTATAGTGATTTTTATAAACTACTCCTTAGGCTTCCTCATCTGTGAAATGGATGTGGTGGGACTCTATCTGTCAACAGGGCATAGAGTGGCTCCAGAGAATACAGGAAAGGCCCTTCTTTTTTTTTTTTTGAAATGGGGTCTTGCTTTATCACCTAGGCTGGAGTGCAGTGGCACGATCATGGATACTGCCACCTCGAATTCCTGGTTTCAAACCATCCTCCCACCTCAGCCTCCTGAGTAGCTAGGACTCAGGCATATACTACCATGCCTGGCTAATTTTAAAATTTTTTGTAGGCTGGGTGAAGTGGCTCATGCCTGTAATCCCAGCATGCTGGGAGGCCAAAGTGGGTGGATCACCTGAGGTCATGGGTTTGAGACCAGCCTGACCAACAGCTCAAAACCCTGTCTCTACTAAAAATACAAAATTAGCTGGGTGTGGTAGTAGGCACCTGTAATCCCAGGTACTTGGGAGGCTGAGGCAGGAGAATCATTTGAACCCAGGAGGCGGAGGTTGCAGTGAGCCTAGATTGCGCCATTGCATTCTAGCCTGGGCAACAAGAGTAAAACTCCGACTCAAAAAAAAAATTTTTTTTTTTTTTTTTTGTAGAGACAAGGTCTGACCATCTTGCCCAGATTGGTCTCAAGCTCCTGGGCTCAAGAGATCCTCCCACCTCAGCCTCCCAAAGTGCTGGGTCTAGAGGTGTGAGCCACCACACCTGGCCAGGAAGGGCCCTTCTGACAGGACCCCGGTTGGGCTGGTCCTTGCTGTGGGCCTCACTCCCCTCTCCCTTACCTGTAGGCCTGAGGGAAGACATGCTGGAGACACTGGTTCCCAAGGCAGAGGGCGACCGTGTGATGGTGGTGCTGGGCCCACAGGCTGGAAGGGTGAGTCTCAAACCTGGCAGTGGAGGTTTGTGGGTCATTCACAGCCTGTAGCAGGGTCTAGGCTGGCCTTGCTGATTTCACTTCACCTCTGTTCCAGGTGGGACATTTGCTGAGCCGGGACAGAGCACGGAGCCGGGCTTTGGTGCAACTGCCAAGAGAGAATCAGGTGGTGGAGCTTCACTACGATGCTGTCTGCCAGTACACGGGCCCTAGTGACACAGATGAAGACTGACCCATGGGACTCCTCCCATCCCCTAGGCTGTTACCAGTTCTGTACAGTATGAGGAAGTTGCCTTCAAGAAGGTGGGAAGATCATTGTTCCATCCTCTACTTCTAGTGCAGTTCTGGGACAAGGACAAGGGACATGGATGGATGAACCAGTAGGGAAGCTAGAAACAAACCCAATATTTACCAGAATTTAGGGTATAATAAAAACCATTTCGGACACTTAATAGAAAGATGTAGCAGGCTAGGCACGGTGGTTCACGCCTGTAATCCCAGCACTTTGGGAGGCCGAGGCGGGTGGATCACGAGGTCAGAAATCGAGACCATCCCGGTCAACATGATGAAACCCATCTCTACTAAAAATACAAAAAAATTAGCTGGGCACGGTGGCGCGTGCCTGTAATGCCAGCTACTCAGGAGGCTAAGGCAGGAGAATTGCCTGAACCCAGGAGGCGGAGGTTGCGGTGAGCTGAGATCGCGCCATTGCCCTCCAGCCTGGGTAACAAGAGTGAAACTCCGTCTCAAAAAGAAAAAAAGATGTCTCTAGCACTGCTCAGAGGGCAAATTTTAAAACTAAGTCTGGGTGAAAGATTTGCTAGTTTTACAGAAAGATTTGTTATCTTAAACTCAAGCTGGTTTTTCTATTTTCATGTAAATGACTGGGATGCTGTCTTATAAAATCTTCCAAGTTCATGTTTGTGAAATAAACATTACATGAGAGTTTAAAAAACAAAACAAAAAAAAAAGATGTAATCATAGGCCGGGTGCGGTGGCTCAAGCCTGTAATCCCAGCACTTTGGGAGGCCGAGACGGGTGGATCACGAGGTGGACAGATCAAGACCATCCTGGTCAACGTGGTGAAACCCCGTCTCTCCTCAAAATACAAAAATTAGCCGGGCATGGTGGCACTTGCCTGTAATCCCAGCTACTCATCAGGCTGAGGCACAAGAATTGCCTGAACCCAGGAGGTGGAGGTTGTGGTGAGCCGAGATCGCGCCATTGCACTCCAGCCTGGGTAACAAGAGCGAAACTCCATCTCAGAAAAAAAGAAAGATGTAATCATAAGTGGTATCATGAGCTGCGAGTTAAGGTGGGAACTGAGTTGACTGAGGTGGGAACCATTTCATTTTTCAGCCTTGCTTTCCTGCCCAGGGTACAGGACAAGTTAAAGGACTCATTTGATTATGAGCTCACTCTTGGGATATAAAAACTATGAGCTTAGGCACAGTGGCACATGCCAGTAACTCCAGCAGTTTGGGAGGCTGAGGTGGGTGGATCACTTGAGGCCAGGAGTTCAAGACCAGCCTGGCCAACAAGGGGAAACCCTGTCTCTATTAAATAAAGTATGAAAATACAAAAAATTAGCCAAGTGTGGTGTTAAACGCCTATAATCACAGCTACTCAGGAAGCTGAGGCAAGACAATTGCTTGAACCCGGGAGGTAGAGGTCGCAGTGAGTCCAGATCATGCCACTGCATTCCAGCCCAAGGGACAGAGTTACACTCTGTCTCAAAAAAAAAAATCTGACTCTTGACTAGATGCTGTGGAATCTGAAGTACTAGGTCTCTGAACAACTTCCTGAGCAAGAATTCTAGCAACTAGCAGCAGAGTCTGCTTTCACTCTCAGGTTAGAGCAAGACCCCAGAGAATATGCTGAGCCTGGGGTCTTCCTCTATTATGCTGTTACGCAGACTGGAGTGCAGTGGTACAGTCATAGCTCACAGCAGCATTGACCTGGGTTCGTGATCTTCCCGCCTCAGCCTCCCAAAGTGCTGGGATTATAGGCATGAGCCACCACAGCTGGCCTCTGGCTTATATCTTTTTAATCTTAGGGAGGATGTTCCCAATTTCTCATATCCAGTAGTCAGTTTCCTATGCTTTATGCACTTCACCCTGTCAAGAAGGCCTCCTCCTTTCTCCAGTCATAATAAACCAGCCTTGGGTAGCGCCTTCAAGAAGAGCTAAAGCTCCCCAGGGAATGGCACTGGGCTCTGTCTCTGCCCTGTAACACAACATAACCCAGCCATTTCACACACCCTCCATCTCCTCCCTGTGCCACAATGCTGAAGTAGATAATCAGCTTCAGATTTCCTGGAATTCATCTTTCTCCTAAGCCTACGCTTGAAAATGGGGCCCCGAGTTCTTGAATATGGCCCTTTGTCCAGAACACCTACCTCCAGGCAGAGCGCCTGGTCTCTCCTGACAGGCCACTGGGACTTTTTGTGCTTTGCCTTGAAAGGAACCCTGCTGATCCCCATTTTGAGGACAGGGTTCCTTACATTCAGGGAAGTGTGGACAATATAAGGAGGCTTTCTCAATCTGCCCCTTGTTCACTGTGCACAAACAAAGCCTTGTATCTGAAGATCCTTTGAATCTGTGCAGTGTTCTCTCAGCTTGCTGCCTGGCATCTGCCTGCTGCCAAAGTTGCTCTTGTGGCAGTAGTTACTGCAGCAACAGCTTCTGTGAGCCCGAGAATTCTCTACAGGCCCCTCACAAGCTGGGGACTATGACCTGTACAATTTGTCCAGACTGGCTTTTTTCACATCACAGTGATTGAGCAAGATGTAGATTAAAAGGCATCTGCCTCTTCTGCCGAGCCTCCAGAAGTTTCCTCAGCAGGAGGCTGCTTCTGTTAAAAGTTTTCCAGACTTAGCCTTGAATTTGTAGCAGCAGACTCAGGAAGCAGCTTCTTTGCCTTTCAAAGAGAAGTCAATTATTGAGGTGATGGAGGCTGCTGCCGGGACTGTGCTTGGTGGCAGATATGGACAGGTCAGCCCTTTTTTTTTCTTAACTTTTTTGAATATAATAAAGACAGGGTCTCACTATATTGCTCAGGCTGGTCTTAAACTCCTGGGCTCGGGTGATCTTCCCATCTCAGCATTCCAAAGTGCTGGGATTACAGTCATGGGCCACTGCACCAGCCTCTCAGCTTTCCTCTCTCTCTCTCTTTTTTTTTTTTTGAGACGGAGTTTCACTCTTGTTGCCTAGGCTGGAGTACAATGGCGCAATCTTGGTTCACTTCACGTCCGCCTCCCAGGTTCAAGCGATTCTCCTGCCTCAGCCTCCCAAGTAGCTGAGATTACAGGCCCACGCCACCATGCCTGGCTAATTTTTGTATTTTCAGTAGAGATGGGGTTTCTCCATGTTGGTCAGGCTGATCTCAAACTGCTGACCTTGTGATTTGCCTGCCTTGGCCTCCCAAAGTGCTGGGATTACAGCCGTGAGCCACTGCACCCCGCCTCAGCTCTCTTTTCTAACATTCCTTCCTCATTCAAGGGAATGCTCCCCTCTACTCCCACACTGAGGCCACCTCTTCATCTCCATGTCTGCAGCACCATGAAGAGGAATGACATATCTAACAACTTAAAAGCTATCTAAGTGGGGATGGGTTCCCATCAAGTCCCCTATCACCCCAATTCATTCAACAAACATCTCTTGAGCCCCTAACTGAATGTCAAGTATTATCCTGCATGCTAGGGGAACAGTGTGGAGTAAATCACTTAATATCAAGACCCTACTATATGCCAGGCAGCATCACGGGTACTGAGTATGGAGCTATGAGCAAAACAAAGAACCTTGCCCTTATGGGGCTGATGCTCCACTGGGGCTGAGACAGTGAGTAATAAGCAGAAGTAAGTGATGGAGGAGGATATTACAAGAAGGTAAGAACCATGGGGGAAAGGGGCAGTATTAATAGGATGGTCACGGAAAGCCTTAGGGAGGTGACATTAAGCAAAGGTATTAAAGGAAGTAAGGGATGGTCATGCAGCTATCTGGGGAAAGTGGTCGAGGCAGGGGAAATGAAGTGCAAAAGCCCTGCAGTAGTGCTGTTGCTGGTGTGTGTGAGGAACAGCCAGGAGGCCAGTGTGGCTGCAGGGGAGTAAGAGAGGGAGAAGGTAGGAGGTCAGGTCTGGTAGATCCTGTAGTGTGTAAGGTCAGTCCACTGGAACTACTGTGGCTTTTGTTGTGACTGAAGTGGAAATCATGAGAAGCCTCCGTGTAGCCACTGCCAAAGACTACCAGTTGATAACTCCCTGCTTGCAGTACACTCCCCACCATGTGCACACAGAACTACACTTACTAAATACATTTGTCCCTCAGTGCTTTGGTCAATCTAGCTGATTTCCACTGTTGTGAACACATCATTTTCCTGCCCAGCAATGCTTCCCCTTTTTTTTTTTTTTTTTTTTGAGGCAGGGTCTCACTCTGTCTCCCAGGCTAATTGTGCAGGGGCCCGATCATGGCTTACTGCAGCCTTGCTCTCCTGGGCTCAAGCAATCTTTCTGCCTCCCAAGTGGCTCAGATTACAAGTGTGTGCCACCACGCCCAGCTCATTTTTTTTTTAATTGTTAGTAGAGGTCAGGGGCACTGGCTCACACCTGTAATCCCAGCACTTTGGGAGGCCGAGGTGGGCAGATTACCTGAGGCCAGGAGTTTGAGACCAGCCTGGACAACGTGGTGAAACCCCATGTCTACTAAAAATAGAAAAATTAGCCAGGTGTGGTGGCACACACCTGTAATCCCAACTACTTGGGAGGCTGAGGCAGGAAAATTGCTTGAACCCAGAAGGCAGAGGTTGCAGTGAGCTGAGATCGTGCCACTGCACTCCAGCCTGGGTGACAGAGCAAGACTCCATCTCAATTTAAAAAAAAAAATGTTCTTCTTTAGAAAGAAAGAAGAGGGAAAAAAAAATGGCTGGGTGTGGTGGTTCAGGCCTGTAATCCCAGCACTTTGGGAGGCTGAGGGTGGGCGGATCACTAGGTCAAGAGATCGAGACCATCCTGGCCAACATGGTGAAACCATGTCTCTACTAAAAATACAAGGCCAGGTGCAGTGGCTCATGCCTATAATCCCAGCACTTCGGGAGGCAGAGGCAGGCAGATCACTGAGGTCAGGAGTTTGAGACCAGCCTGACTAACATGGTGAAACCCCATTTCTACTAAAAATACAAAAAATTAGCCGGGCGTGGTGGCACGCACCTGTAGTCCCAGTTATTTAGGAGGCTGAGGCAGGAGAATCGCTTGAACCCGGGAGGCAGAGGTTGCAGTGAGCCAAGACCATGCCACTGCACTGCAGCCTGGCAACAGAGACTCCGTCTCAAACAAACAAAAGAATTTTTTTTTTTGTAGAGACACGGTCTCACAGTGTTGCTCAGGCTGGTCTCAAACTCCTGGGTTCAAGCAATCCTCCTGCCTCAGCCTCCCAAATCCCAAATGGGATTACAGGTGTGATCCACCTCTCGTAGCAGCAAGGCTTCTTCCTGTGGGGTGTGCCCTTTATCACTATCAGTGGAGTACTTGTCTCAAACTTGAGAGGCAGCTTCCTTTCCAGGCCTTTGGGATCCTTGGCACTTGACTTCCACACACCCCTGGTGTTTTACCTTGCCTCTGGAAGAGTTATCAATGCCTGAAGATCACCAGACACCAGAAGCTAAAGGGGAGAAGCACTATATCTGCAGTGGACTGAATGTGGCCCCCCATCAAGCTCATATGTTGAAATCATGGCTGAGCGTGGTGGCTCACACCTGTAATCCCAACACTTCAAGAGGCTGAAGCAGGTAGATCATGAGGTCAGGAATTCGAGACCAGCCTCCCAAAGTGCTGGGTTTGAGAGGGACAAGTCATCAAACTATAACAGTATGTAATCTTTGGAAACTTGCTTTTTCCCCACTGGGCATTCTAGATTTCTTTCTTT